CACCTGGCCCTCTGTAGATGCCTTCGCTTCTATGCGGTGCATGTATCCAACGATGTACCTGCCAGTGCGCTCTCCCGACATGAATCTTCCTGACGGACTTTGGGAATAGCAGCGGGGCTTGTCACGGCGGAAAGTGTCGTGCCGGCTAAGGCGCCGCGCGAAATGCCTGTTAGCAGAGACGGGTGAGGGAGCGCCCGCCCGCCATCCCCTTTGGCAGTTATCTACAGAAGCTGTGCGTGGTCCTCTTCTGCAGCGTCGTACGCGCTGTTTAATTCTTCATCTTAAGGGGGAGTGCAGCCTGCGCGGGTGCGCCTTTGGCGCGATGGACGCGCGCGACGCGCCGCGGGCCTGCGCAGATGCGGAAGGCCGCCGATATCTGCCGCGAGCTGCTGCGTGCAGGAATAACTGGTTCTTGGCGGGTGAGAGGAAGTGGGAGGCGCGCAAGAGGGTTGCGGCCCTCCGCAACCGCCGAAGTGCTCGGGCGCCAAGCTGAGATCCAGGCACGCAGGCCCATGCTTTTGTTCATTGGGCTGAGGTCCTTGCACCCGCGTACGATGACACTCGTACCTAGCACCACCCGCTGCAGCAATTCTCGGATATATCTTTATGATCAGACGCTCAAACCCTTGGCGCGGTAAGTTCTGAAGTACAACTTCTTGACGCCACGTGATGACAACTACGTACCTGCGTCATCGGAGAACACGCGATAGGGATGACGCCTGTGCTCTCTCGCATCATCAACAATGCACACTCTCGGAACGACGGATAGCTGACGTATTCGTATGACTCGGATGCGCTACCTCATCGCAGTATCACCTAAGTCACCTTCGGCGACGCCATGTAGGCGCCGTCCCCTGGAGGACGGATAGTCACGGATGGAAGTAGGTATTGCCTGCTACGCTTTTCTGACATCTCGGAGACGCGTTAACAGAGACCATATATAGGTGAACTCCAGATCTCAACCAAGGCATAATACCATCATGCCGACACCCGTGAAAACGTCTCCATACCCTTTCTTGGAGCTTTCGTCCACACAGATGTGTGTGCCTCCTGGCGCTCCGTCTGTCGCACTGGCGGTGGAGGCACTGCACCACGAACTCTGCCAGCTCATACGCAATATGCCCGTTGTACGAGGTCCATTACCGCCGGACCTCGAAGGTTGCGGTCTGAGCATCGATTCCGTGCGATCTGTGCTGGAATCTGCTCGTCGAATCTTGGTATGCATCGGCAATTCTTGCTACGAGCTTTCACTGAAGTATAACACACAGGGTCAACTCTCCCGCGAGCGGGGAGGTACTTGCTTCTGTATTGATCCAGGGGAGATGATGTGTGTGTTGTGGATCTCTACTGAAGCCTCTCGCTGGGTCATCGAGATAGAAAAACGCGCCGACAGCCGGACGAGATGGATTTTCGACGGGATGGAGAGAGCGTGGCAGGCGTGGCAAGCGGAAGCCCAACCTTTCCAAGCCCTTGTTCGAGGTACTTGCTCGACGTTTTCCAACAACATGAACGCCGCGCGTTATGGCTGTGTTCCTGGTGACCCGGAGCCGTTGTACACGCTTTGGCTGAATCAGGAGGACCGCGCTCGCTTTCAACTACTACAGGGCGCGAGCCCTCAAGGTGAATACGATCGCATCGTTGGTCGTCTCAACGATGAACTTCAGAATGAGCGTGTGACACGCAGTGCTAGTGAGTCGATCAGGGATCGATTCCTCACGACTCTCACTCATGATTTCTGTCCACATAGGCTCGACGGAACGTGCAGAAAGGCATGGATCAGGCCCAACTCCGCCCTCGGAGGCAGGCGCTACCGTTGAGATAGATTTGTCTCGAGTTCCCTTACTCCTGTCCCCACAGAGAGAAGCCGATTCCGGATCGCGGGTTCCTCGGTGGGCTGTCTCCAAATAGCGGTGCTTTACCATCGTCCGTTTCCTCTGTAAATATTGCCTGTGTCGCGGCCTGCATAGTCCGTTGAATTGATACACCCCCCGCTTTCAAAAATCCGTGCGGCTTCGCGTATCTTTTTGCGATGCACTGGGCAAATTGAAGGGCATTCGCCTTGTCTATGCCTGTTCTGCAGCTACGACTTATATGATGCGGACGCTCAGTGAAGGGCCGCTCATCACCCTGCAAACTGTTGTGCAATTGCCGATCTGCAAACGATCGACCGAACCCTTGTCGTTTACGATACGGGTATCCGCGTAGTCAACCACACGATCAGGGACTCGCAATATGGATGGACGTTTACTAGCAGGATTGCTCGCCATCCTTCAATCACTAGTATACTTCACACGATCGTCTCCATCTAGGAGAGATGGTTACGCACTGCACGCGAACACGATGTGCTAGCATTCTCCTACAGCGGGGGACAGGGCCGCCCGTACATATGCAATCAAAGAAGAGTGGTGATGTTCATTCAGTGTGTTCTCCTACTAACCCGCCACCTGCTGCGCATTCTACCTACTCAGCTATCATTTGCGTGACGCATGGGGTGTTCGAAAAGGATCTATGAGTGGTGCGCTCCATATAGACTGCGAGTGCGCGGGTTCGGTCCTAGTGCACAATAGGTCGCGTAACTCTGGATGCAGCGCCCGACGTTCAATAAGAAACCTATGCGAGATAAGTGGGCGATCTCGAGATCAAGTAGTCCAAACTTGCCTACGGACGGTGACCAAGTCGTCGAATCTTGAGGCGTCCAATGTACGCAGATGCTTTGGAGGGTGTGCTATAACATCGTAACCATGATGGCGAACGAAGCCGCCCCTCAACGCGTCGACATCAAGCTCGCTCTCAAACGCGAATTGGCCACGCTCATCGAAAAGAATGAATGCCCATGTCCCCGAGGCGAGCTGTTTCCCCCCGAAAACTCACAACTCACAGCAGTTCCAGCAAGGATTGACTCAAAAATGCAGTAACTCACTGATCGCCCTGCAACTGCAGCGAAATAGTGAGTTGACGACGCCTCCCAAAGTGGTATATGCAGATTACTAACCTGAATAGATAATATAATGCCTCGGCCATGCCCGAGGTATCCAAATTGGGACTGTGTGGGCCTCGTGGCCTCCTTCCCATCAATC